GAGCTGAAGAGAAGCTGGCCGATGTTGCGTCCCCGAACTCTAAACCCCCGAACCTGATCCCGAAACCGAAGTTCTGTTAGCCAGGACGACGGGGGTGAGATCCGAGCCAGCGAAAAGAGGCAGTACCCCGAAGATCAGGAGCGACCAGGGGAGGGCTGAAGGCTCGAGGGCAGGTTCAGGGTCATTTCAGTGCAGGGCTTTCTGGAAGTCTAGGACATTTTCAGGTGGGGAGCTACCCTTTTGGGAGCCTTATAGAAGGTCTATTTGCCTTATGGGAAGCCTTATAGAAGCCCTACAAAACCCTAAACTCCCCACCTGTAGCTTCCTTTCAGGAAGGTCAGAGTTTTGGGTGCAAGTGCCTTCGTTTCAGGAGTTCTACAGCTTCGAGGCACTGAAGACGAAACTCTCCGACAAGCCCCTGCAAGAGGTGGAAGACCTTTGGCCGTGGGCTCAGACATGCTTAGAAGGTCCCAAGTGTCTACCTGCTGAGAGGACCCCGCAGGCCTTTAGATTAAAGACCTCTGTAGCTAGTATGCATGCATCGAGAGAAGCCATCGAAGTCGTCAGGCTCGAAGAATCTGCCTCCCTCTACTTCCGGATACCTTATCCATCCATGAGGGCTCGTCGAGGCTAATGGAGGAGGTTGGAGAGACGAAGAGTCAAACTTCCAGCGCATTGTCGCTTGTATTGCCGGAGTCTCATCTCGCTCCACCTCCCTAGCCCTACAGATCCTTTTCAAAACCCGATTCCTCGATTCAGAAGCGGCAACGTCTAGGCGAAGTCGGATGAAGCCCCAGTGGGTCCTACACGAGCAGGTGCCGGCCTTAATCTGCGTCACACGGATGTGTGTGGTCATTCGGAATGACCTGCTGGAAGCCACCAGACATACATGACGCCGTGAAGCAGCAAGCCACCGCCATGTGGGAGCTTCGCTTTCTGCATAAACGTGCTGCTTTCCAAAGCCCGATAAGGCCTCCGCGAGATCGTGATTTGTTGTGCCTTAGTAATACTCAGCGGACTCCCGCACAGGAGCGCGCTGCGGCACTAGCTTGGAAGGATGATGGTGGAGACATCAAAGTCGCTGCGAACTTACGAAGGGACTCGCATGGGCATTAGTCACTTCCTGCTGGCTGCACATGTGAAATGCATCTGTGCGTGTTGGGTTTTTGCGAATTTCTCTCGACATTAATGTTGCAGCTCAGCTGGTGTCCAAAAACTTGTGACAACACTCAGGTGTTGCACTACCAAATCTGCAGCATGTAAGTGTCATGGAATCTTCGTCAGCTGAAGCAGCGCTGCCGGGATTCTAGTGTCTATAGCGTGTGAGTGTGAGTCTTGAAGTGGAGGGTTTGCTATTCAATCTGTGTAATTATCGCATTGGGTTTGGAGTTGGGCTTGGAGTCCTAGAGTGGTGGATGTATCTTCAAGGGTTGATGTTGGGCTCCAAGTTGTAAGGAGCCTCTTACAGTAACCAGGGTCTTTTGTAGCAGGTGGTTGCCATAATTTAGGGGACTGGACTTTTCTTGGCCTTCGGGCTCAAAGCAATCTCATCATGAGTGGCCGGCATCAGAACTTTTGAAGCAAGCGTCTCCAAGGAATGTAAATGGCGCTACTAGCCTTCGGCATAGGGTGCATTGCCCTGACTTCAGCATATATCTATGTGTGTATATATATATATACATTTATACACAAAGTCCACCGCTGAATGTTTAAAAAGCCCTTAACTCAATATTTCAGCAGAAGGATCCGGAGCAGGGGCTTGAGGCTAAGCTTGGCCCTGAGATGTGAAAGCCTCGGTGCCATGGGCGGGCTTTGCGGAAAGTCCGGGCAAAGAGCCCCGGCAGAACTGTCTGAGCAACATGTCCAATCCCGGAGTGCTCAGCCTTGGATCGCTTGTTGGGCTCCGTCCGGCCTGGGTGTGGCTTAGCAGCTACCAGTAGTAAGTTACGGGCACTGGTTTGTCCGAAGCCTGCGCGAGTGCGAAATGTAGTTGGGACAGTGGTTGTGAAGCCATGCCTGTCGCGAGGGAGCAACTCTAGCAATCCCCATCCATGTAAACGTGTTTGTTAGAAGCTCTATGCCTTAGACTAGATCCCTCTTTGCTTTAAAGCTGCGACACCTGAAATTCAAGCCTTGCGAGGATTCGATCTTGCAACTGATTTGCCATGAACGTGCCAAGAAGGACACACCTCCTTACACAGAGCCCATCTCAAGGAATTCTCCAACTCAACCCGAACTCCTGCTCGTCCGCTTCAAGCCCCCGAAACGTTCATAAACTCCCCCACCCTGAGACAGCACCAGGCTCCGCCTCGGTGGGGTACTGAACTTACTAGCAACACCCAAAGTACTAATACCGCTAACCATTTGTTGCTTTGGTTGTAACGATACTGCTACAATTACTTCTTCCAACCATATAGCAACAATACCACGGACACCATTACCACAAAAACAGCTATGACAAGTGAGGATTAATCATTGCTATTCTAACCCTAAACCCTAAACCCTAAACCCTAGATGTCCTGAAGTGATGGTGTCCATGCCTCGCATGCATAGCCGAGGCCCTCAGGATCCGAATGCAACGTTGCAGCTGCCTGGCCGTTTTGGTGTCGTAGTGCCTCAGGGTTAGAGTTTTGGGATGTTTCGGGCCTTCTCTGTTGGATTCCAAGAATGTGTAACTAAAAACCCCTGGGCGCCGAAACTTTAAACTTAAACCTACCGCAAGTATCGCGCGCTCCTCCTTGCCCAGAGGCGTTCCCCAGAGCACTTCGACGAAGATCCATCGCCAAGGAACTGGGAGTTGGAATAGCAATCCTAAACTTCGACCCTAAACCCTAAACCCTAAGACTTCGACCCTCAGTCCTCCTCCGAGGCTCCTCCCCGGCCGAAAGCGGCGACTTGCACAACGCGGTCTCCTGGCATCCGATGTGCAGGCCGTCACACGCCTTTGCAGTGCTTGGCCCTTGTAGTGCTTTGGGACAGAGTGTCCGGTGCATAGGGTATAGGGTTTAAAAGGGTGTCATGGCTTCGGGTATAACTAAGGTCCTCGATGAAAGGAATTTGCTAGGAGCACTTTCATGTGATCATAGCTGTGAACCTTAGACCGAAGTCCTTGTATACTTTTCGTGACCCAGAGAAAACTAGTTGAAATCTGCCACCCATGAATGTGGCTTGCTTCCAGATTCGTTTCCATGAAGGGACTACAAAGCTTGTGGTCTTCAAACTTGCCGTAATGTAGGGGCCTATTAATAATTAAAATAGGGTTTTGGGGGCGCCTTATTCAAGTATAGTACAATATACCCCGAAGCCCTATTCTAATTATTAAGGCCCCTATATTAAACTTGATGCCGCTTTGCCCCGAGTTAGCTTCGTGGCCTCGCAGAGCCTTTAGCCGTCAGTGCCAGGAGATCGAGATAGAAGGATTCCAGCCGAAGATGGTGAAGGCGGAAGGCAGCTCGGTATCATGCTTCCGTGAACTTCAAAGATGGCATGATGGCTACCCAAACCAAAGAGAAGCAGACACACTCACACGGACCCTCATTGGCTTGCGCCAATTGTGACAAAGCAGGCCGTCTGTGGGACCCACTCGAAATAACCATAACCTTCGGGAATTGTAATTACGGCCTACACCCTGCCAATCCAGCTTGCTGAGGCGTTGAACCTGGTATCCCCAGACGTGTCCCTTCGCAAGTGTTCCCAACATGTTTCACTAAGGGCATGTTAGGGTTTCCGACAATAGGGGACCCTAATATAGTACCCTAAATAGTAGGATCCGTATTTTAAGGACCCCAAAATAAGGTACCCTAATTTTCGGAAACTCCCATGTTAGTGTTTTACGGAATGGCCGTTCTCAGCTTGTCCACGTAGCGGGCCAAAGAGGTCCTCGGATGTGTATAAAGCACAACTCCGCCTGTCGACACAATCCATCTGCTTGTATGTAGGTTCTTGTGCCGGAATTCGCACCTTATCATCCTTCTATGAAACTGGTTGTTTGCTAAGCCCCTCCGAATAAATGCTCCATCCTTCATACTTATATACGTCCTAACCACTGGACAAAGGCGAGCGTTTAGACCCCTTCAGCACACTTCTCAGCAGCCACGTCTGACGAATTCCTGCATCATTTCCTACATCGTGCGACTACGTAGCGGATGGCCATTCGAGCAGGTTGCTAAGGCATGCCCGCACAGACTTTTACATCCTTGCAGCCTTGTACCATGGCAGTAACGTAGGGGTCTAAATAATTGCAATTACCTGGCAAGTCGGGACTGAGTGCTAAATGTAAGCAGGTGCAGAAACTTGATTCTTCTATGCTAACTTTGCCTGTGAACATTGTTCTCTGCCATGCGAGAGGGAAAAAACTTAGTTAAAATTTTGGGGGCTCCTTATAGTGCAGTTATAGCAGAATATACCCCCAAACCCTCTCCTAATGATCAAGGCCCCTACATTAGGCTAAGAGAGCCCTGACCTGACCAGCACTCGAAGAGACCTTCAGCCCAGGAACCGGGGCCCTGAGCAAGTTCGGCATCGGAAGCTCGGCTGCGCGAAGTGGCTTTGTGCCCGTGGGTTCGAGAGGGTTTAGGGTTTAGGGCTTCAAGTTCAGGGTTTCTATCCGTCGGTTTAGGGTTTGGGGTTTACAGGGCTTTTTTTAATCGGGTTTGGGGTTTAGGTTGCGAGATTAGGGATTAGGGTTTTCTGGGCGGCGTTTCCACGGCGCCTTGTACGTAGCACTGTAGCCTGGGACGAAGAGGCAAACAAAAGACCAACAACACCCCAAAGCCCGAACATATCCTGAAGCCCGCAACCATGCGAGGATAAACGTCGCGTTCAAAAGCATGGATCACAGCGTATACCTTGACTTACACATGTTTCTGCCCCGTCGGAGTACATCCGTTCAAGCATGACAGCTAACCCTAAACCCGACGCCCTAAACCCTAAACCCCTAAACCCTAAACCCCGAGCATGACAGCTCCCTGTCAACCTCAGGCTGCGTGTGCCGCAAGGGCATGAAACCTCAGAGCCCGAGCCAAGACGACTTCTGCGCTTTTCACACGGACCTATGCACTCTGGCCCTGTGGCTGCATAGGGACTCACCCAGCATCCATGTCAGGAGCCCTTGTTGTCCTATATGACCGGTGCGGGAACCTTCTAGATCACCATGTGGAGTCTGCTACGATCAAGTGGGGTACAATCCTACTTCGTCGTGCTCCTTTTGTTTCGGATGTCGATGAAAGAATGATGTCAGTAAAGGGTCCCATCCTTCGCGACCTGGTACCGCGGTTTCAACCCAAGCCGCCAGCTAATCACTAAGTAGATGCAGAGAAGCCATCGACATGCACTAAGCTGGTAGCCATGGTACTAGTAGCATGGCAAAGCAGCATGTGCCGTGGCAGGAGCGAGGTGGGTAGGAGCAGTTGCAGCAGAATCAGTAAGGGTCACCGGCAAGCATAGGTAATCAGTAGTAGCTCTTCAGAGTGTGGGCTTCGAGGAGCTTCTCGGCATTGAAACATGAGAGCGTGCAAGCTGTGCAGTATCCCGATTGTGACATCCTCTATTCTACCACAAGCAGTCTTGCAGAACACTCTAAATTTTGACGAGGCGAATCCACGAACCGAGAAACTTGGTCCCTTTTGGGACTGTTAGCCAAGTCCCTGAGGTTGGTATCTTTGATGGGCACGGGCCTTTTGGGCATCGTGTCGCCAACTACGTTCAGGTACAGTGGACTCCTTGTTGGGCTGTTTTCCTTGAGTCTGTGGGGGATTTTGTGAGATAAAACGCTCTTTCGGGGTTCGTTTTTGTGAAAAGGCCTTGTTTTGGAATTGCTTCCATACAAGGCAATTCTGGGCCTGCAGCACTCCAGTAGCCGACAGTCGCAAGCCGAAGTCTCGCCCGTGTCTACGGGCTCCTGTGAAAGGTTCTACATGGTATATGGGCCTTCGGGACCCTCCAACATGCTATAAGCCCCGCCTGGAGTCTTGGGGGATTACGCTGGAGGCACTCGGACTAAGACTTGCCGGGGTCCGTTCTCTCATCTTTGAAGCCATCCTCCAGAACGCCACTGAATTAGCCCCAGCTTCGTTTTGCAGGAGACTCTGCCACGGACTCTGCTTCAGTCACAGGGCTTCCTTCACAAGGAGGCCGGAAGCGCCCTTTCCCCCACGGACGCACAGCTGAGACCCTGAGGCCCCGAAAGCCTCCTAAAGTGCTCGGTTCGTTCCTAGTCATGAGAAACAGAATTAAGAACGCGATGCTCGGTGCAAGAAAGGATGAAGCAGGGTATGGGGCTTAGGGTGTAGGATGTTGGAGTCAGAACACATTCGGGCTCTGGGTCGCGGATTTCTGGCAGAAAGCGTTCGTCGAAGTGCTTGGTTTCGCGCTGGTCCGATCAATGCTATCTGCTGTTTCTGCTCATCAAGCCAATCCGGAGTGCAAAGTCATTTTGCAGCTTGGGGTTTGATCATCAGGATCCCCGAGCATATCATGGCACCCATAAGATGAAGGAATGCCCAAGTAAGTGAGAGTCTTGAGCCTCCACACAAAACACCAGAAAAACCCGGACTGTGAGGCCCTAAAGCCCCCAGACCTCCAACTCCCGAAAGCCCAAACAATCCCTTAACCTCAGGTGGAGAAGGCATTGAAAGATGCGTTCGTAGAGACGAACCAGAAGTGTGGGAGCCTTACATGCTTGTTGTTGTTACAAAAAGGTGTTTCGAAGGGCTCCTTGGAATCAGGGGATGCATCCATTTGGGTTTTCATTTGGGTCCCTTCTTTTCTGTAGTTGCTGGTGCATTTGTGCAACACCTTCTCGCGCAGCTTCTTCGCGAAGTCGCATGCTTTCTGCTTCCGGCCGACAACTATTGGTGTGAAGGACTCTCAGCAATTTCCAAATCCACCCCAAAACCGCTTTGTCCCCTGCCCACGGAAAACCCTGATGCCATTAAATCCCGCAAAACCAGGTCTGGAAAATGAGGCTTTCGATTGCCAGCTCAGTGGGACGACAGCCACTCTGGCCTACCTCAGCCAGCGCATGCTGTGCCCTGGAGAATTCTGGAGGGCTTCTTCAGTCAGCATGTCGCATCTGTGCGTATATACAATATAATATGAGATACTATAACATAATAGTGATGCCATGTGGGAGCCAAAATAAAAATACAATATGATATAACATGGTAAAATACAATATATAATATACTATACCATAATACTGTTTTTAGCATGATTTTCATATGATTATCACCATGACGATGACTAAGATATGATCTTGTCAAGCCCGGGATGTTCAATCTCAAGCATTCTTCCCGCAACTTTAACTTCCTTGACGGGAGCCAAGCTATGCTTTAGTTTCCGAGCTGGAAGTCACACCCGAGGTACATTGCACATGTGGGGGACTCACAAGCAGTCATTGCTTCGAAGCCGAAGCCGGTGCAGCTTGGACGCTTTGGGGCCTTCAGGTTTCGGTGTAGGGTTGGAGAGCTTTGGGGTCAGCGTTTCGGGATTGGAGGTGAGTGATCTGGGGAGCATGGAGTACTCTAATTCCGACTCCCCCCACCGACAAAGCAACACCAGCAGTGGGAGTGGGAGAAGAAGCAGCAGCGGCTGCCACCAGCCTCATCCACAGTAGCAGCTCCACTAATAGTAGTACATGAATTGGTCGCGATTCACGCAGCTTTTTAAATACATGTGTACATACATACACACACATATATAATATATGTATGTACATACATACATACACTTTATGTCACGTTTTGTATTTATATAGATATATGTATACACAGGTCAGAAAGTGTGATGTGCCAAGACAAGTGCTTGTGACGCGGTAAAATGGTTTCCCAAATCTTAGCATTCGATACTGGCCTCGTGGGAATGAAAGAGTACACGAAGCCATGTGTGCACCTACCCTAAACCCTAAACCCTAAACCCTAAACCCTACATGATGCGGAGGGCAAGGGCTGCAGCCTTTGCTCCGCCTTCTAAGGAAAGGTGCCACGCCCAAAGTTGGCATCGAAGTGGAGGTGATCAGTCCCAGGGAGTATTCTAGTACGGAAACAGGGCATTCGGGGTTTCAGGGTGGAGGATGTAAGGTTGGTCTTCGGGCTATGGGGTTGGCTGAGGTCTTCTTGTTTAGTCAAGGTTTCAAGTCCTGTCTTCAATAGCAGCTCCAGAGAACAGACTGCGATCTTGTTCCTTTGTAGTCTCAGACGGTCAACAAGATGTCTGGGTTTTATTTTCGCAGCTTAAAACCCCTGATGCAATGTCCCGCCTGTTTCTGCGGCAAGCAGTGGTCTGATTAGATACGCGACCCACGCCGGATGCTCCGGATCCTTGCCCGCCTCTTTCAGATTAATCTGCGCCGGTCCACTCAAGCTTAACTGAGCATTCAAGCGCAGACCGTCCCATAGTTTCGAAGGCCCGAGACCTCACAGCCACTACTGTGTTGAACGTCTTCCGGAGGTGCTTACACCTGAACACCGGCTGACCCAAGAGGGGGAAAGGCAGGATGCGTGGTTGTCATGACGTATTTCCATCTAGCTAGACCACGCACACATGCGCACACGCGCACAGACACACCAGAGCTACGGAAGTACGAAGACAGAGACATCGGTAGGTTCAGGAAATAAAGTCCTCGACCCGATACTCGCAAACCATCAGCTCTGAACCCTAGAACCCGGACAGGTAAGTGCGACCTGATCGCCATGCGGGTTGGGAAGGACAGATAAATAAATCCCAGGGCCCCAGGTCTTGTTGTAGATGCACGTACAACCAAGGTTGGCTTATAAGTTACAAGGGTACAGTACTGTAAGGGTAAGGCTCTTCAGACAGGTGAGATCTGGGGTCGACAGAGCTACAGCACCCGCCGCTCTCAATGCGAGAAACTTCACTGGACCCAAGGACTCTGGGAGTTGAATGAGGTTACCTTATTCGGGTTTTTTTGTACAATAAGGATCCCGTTAGTTAGGGTTCAATATGAGAGTCGCCCAGTGTCTATATTGGCCATACACCTCAAATCACCACACTCCGTCTCTACAATGACTACACAAGTTAGAGTATATACCTAAACCGTAAACCCCAAGCCCTTGAACCCGGAACCGGCTAAAGCCTTGGAGACGTATATTTCCATCGTGAGGCAGCGCATCGAAGCTGCCGGTGGACAGGTCGTCCAGCTCGAGGGCGACATCCCCTTGTGGCCCGCTCGTGCTGTAATGGGGGCTGAATACTAAAGCAGCTTTGGCGGTACGGTATAGTGTAACACAAGACTACGTACTATCATGCTGACCTTGAGGAATAGTATTAGTATCCCTTCCCGACCTCTAAATCATTGTACTTCGACTGGTTGTGTTTGTGTTGACCTTGACGTGGCTGGAGACTCAAGTCTCGGGAGAGCCTGATTCGTCTGGAGGCCGCATGCTCGAAAGAGCCGCGTCGTAGTCTACGGTGTTCCCAAGGGTCTAAGTACTTATATGGTAGATACTTTGGGGCCCAAAATATCTACTATGTGGGTACTTAGACCCTTTGGGGTTTTGTCAACACAAAGTCCCTTGTCAAATGCTGCTAAGAGTTGTAGCAGTCATCCGTGCCTTCTCTGCGCAGATGAACCCTGAACCCTAGACCCACAGACCCTGAGCCGCATGTGACACCCTATAAGGCTTACATCCACAATCCGCCTTAGATTCTCGGAAATCCTGGTTTAACCCACCCGAAACCCGTAACTCATTCTAGACCTGTAGCCCACCCACAGTCCCGAGACCCTGAAACCACATCATTGTCGGGTCTGACGCAGCCCAGGCGAGTCTTCCTCAAAGGAGAACTTTATCCAGGCCCAAACTTTGAGGGTGCATGGTTTGGCTCGGCTTTAGGGTTCCGGTGTCTTCTCAACCGAGGGTCTTTGGGTTTAGGTAACTTTTGGTAGCAAGCTGATCATTGCCTCAAGGGATGTCCACATAACTCTGCAAGCGGTGGTGATCGTGATACGTGGCGGTTGCAGTGATGGTACTTCACAGAAAGCATTTAGCATGATTCCCAGGCTTGGTCATTACACGGGCTCTCGGCGACAAGATTGGAGCGGCTTGGCTGCCACTGTTTCTCCTCCAAACCCGCTTCAAAGTGCGTTGTGGCAGCTTCAGACATAGGGAGAGAACCCGAGCCCCTCTACAAAAGGCACACACAGGAGATTTCTGAGCCTCCAACCCCAAACGGCCAAGCCTTCTGAGTATCCTCAACAACATTCTTACGAGGCCAAGGCTGGCGTGTCCTGTGAGCCTGATGTGCGCGCTGTGGAGAGGACAGGGCTTCGATTTTTAAGAGCTATGGTTTGGCCGTTGGGGTTTGGAGCAAACAGGAGAACCTCTCTTTGCGTCCCCCTCTCTCTCTCTCTCTCTTTCCGCTGGCTGGCTCGATGTCTCTCTCTCGCTCTGCCCCTACCTGAAAATATTCGGACATGTTCCAGTCTGTCTAGGAGTACAGGGGACATACATGGGACGGTGCTGCCACTGGGCCACGGTGGCCTTTGTCAAACTACTCTCCACAGCACGCCTGGACGATGCATTCCATTAAATTGAGCTAAAGAGATCTGGAAGCACTGAGAAACATGAGCCGCTGATATGGTGCAGACAAATGTTCGTGAAACTTATGCTCATGTTCTATTCATTCCACTTCGCTGAAAGTGGTAGGATTTGCACGAGCAGGAGACCCGAGTGGCAATTCCTGCTCATGTGTTCGGATGGAGACTCTCGGCATCCAAAAAAAGTGGAAACACCTTGTGGGTGAGATGGTTCTCTTCATTGTGTCAGAGTCGTGCTGTGTTAGGTGTGGGAGTTCTGCGACTTCCAAGAAGCCGCAGACATTATCTTCAAGCACCTTGTCTGGCATGGCAACCTCTTTGCGCTGGAAGCCCTGCGTGTGGTGTGCTTGCTTCGCATCTTCGGAGGCAGAGCAAATACAATTGAGAGTATGTGAGAGAGCATATAGCAGATGGAGTGGAGCCAAACTACATATGACGAGAGGGAGATGGTGCCTCAAGTATGCCTGTAAGCCTCTTGTCGCAGCACAGCACGCAAGGGAACAGCAGAATTCCTGGCGGCCAAGGTATCCACCCAGCAAGGCGCAAGAAGCTGCCGAGGCGGGAGCATCGTTGCTGGTAGCGCTGGGGCAACCATTGCTACGACCATGAGGACGACGACGAAGGATGACGATGCCTACTGCTACCCACTACTGCACCTGCTGCTACTGCCACTGCTACCTATTACAAGCGATACCGAAACTGTGTTGTTTTCCTGCATGGTCCGTCGGAAGGTCCTGGCGAAAGAAGCTTGGGAACGCTGGGTGAAGGAAGAAGGGTTCTTCAGCCGCACGCAGGTTCGGCAGACAGGCTGTCGGGTGCGGTGCTGGATTAGAATTGACCCCAAACACGTGTAGCTAACTATCCAGCATCGATGTCAGGCTTCAAATCATTACGGCCGCCCAAGGTTCCCCTGGCCCTTCCTTGAAGATCTCTCAAGGCCTCGTTAACACACAGGTATCATCGGAGCTGATTACGGTTGAGAGTGTACCGTAGTATATGCAGCACGTTTGATCTATTCTCTTGTGGATGACGATGGGCGCACGAACCAGTATCTCTCTGGCAAGAGAAGCTGCATAGATAAATTGAAACTCCAAGGGTATCGGGTTTTGGGTCACTGAGACACATCATGCTGAAGTGGTTTCTCCAAGCTGGGCCATTCAACTCTGACACTGACATGAATCGAGAATGGACTTTGCAGGTGGATCTTTAGTTAATCCGTATGCGACATTACCAGGCAACTGCCGCCGCTTCTGGGGTGGTAGGAGCTATACCAGGCATGAATCAATGAAGTGTAGACGTGCAATGATGGATGCTTGCCGCGGTAGCTTCCGTGCCGAGGAACGTGGTAGACGACATCACCGTGATCGTTTGCTGGCTGCGCTCATGAGGGTTTGGTGGCCCAGAAGCGATGATATGACGAAGCGTCAAGAGTCATTGCTGTACTGCTAATTGGAAGGGGGGTCTCCTCCTGTCGCTGTTCTTGAGGTCTCCTTCAAAGAGTTTGTCCTCCCAGATTGATCACAGCTACGTTAACAATGCTGTATTCGATCGAAAGCAGACCCAAAAAAGAGGCAAGCCGCGACAGCAGATTCCAGAAGCTATTTTCAGCGGACACCTCAAGAACTGATGCGCCCAAGGGCGGCGCTCATGTGCCCCCTTGTAAACTGCGGCGAATTGCCGCTTTGGCGTCAATGCGTCTACAGTCCCCGACGGCAAAAGCAGCGCGGCACTGTTTCTTGAAGGGACATAGTCTAGAGAGGGTGTATGAAATCTCAAGGTCGGCAAATCCAGGGAACCCCATCCAGGATAATTGCGAATCCAAGCCATAATGATTGCCCCATACCTGCCGGGCTCAGTCTATGCCCGAGTAAGCTCTTCTGTTGATATCCATTATTGATGATGCAGGCATCTGCATTGGTGTGCAACTTAGCTTCGTGCGTATGCGCTTGTATGTCGCAACTGTAGTCCTACATCTTGAGCCACTGAGAAACCGTAGCTCTATCTCCAAAGGTCCGAGTTGCCTGCTAGGTTTCTAGCCTTGCAGGAGCCAGGCCGACTTATGACCTCCTTCGATTCTTCATGTCGCAGTACTACCGGTGTGAGATATGCCGCTGCTCATGCTAGTAGTACTCGGTCTTGCTAGTGGTAGGAGGACTTATCGTTCACATTATACTAACAACAGCGACAGTCACATTTACAAGGGCTCGGAGTGGATATGGTGATAGCAAATCTGACAAACATTCAACAAGAACAACCAAGTGCCCGGACAAGTTGTAAGGAGTAGCACGACAAGTTGTCCTAACTAGAGTTGCAGCGCGTTCGCCGTGGCCTGGCCTCATCTGTTTTTCGTTCACCATGACTGGAGCGAGTCGAGTTCTGCTGGCCACTGCAGGGAACTCGAATCATTGCTGCTGCCATTATGATTATCAGTATTGTCATGTTTAGTCCTCGTACGGTTATTAATACTATTGAAATATTTCTACTGATACCACTACTTGTTAGCAACAAATGCTGTGTCACTATACTGCTGCTACTACCACTACCACTACCACTACTACCACGACTACTACTACTACTACTACTACTACTACTACTACTACTCCTCCTACTACTACTACAACTACTACTACTACTACTTCTACTGCTGCTACTGCTACTACTACTACTTCTACTGCTGCTGCTGCTACTACTACTACTACTACTACTACTAATGATAATACTACTTCTCCTCTATGACCACGAGTACCACTACAACCAGCAACGCCATCCCTGTTCTGGCACTAGGACCCGTAAGATTCTTCAAGGATGAGCTTCGTCAGCATCCTGAAGAGAAGACGAACCTGACCTTTGCAGATTTCAAGGCCATGGCGGTTCTGTAGATGCAGAAGCAAATATAGGGGCCTTAATAGTTAGACTAGGTTTATATTTATTGCAGGTTTATAATAAGGAACCCCCCCAAACCCCATTCTAATTTTTGAGGCCCCGTATTCTGCTCATGGAAATGCTCTAGGGGTTCCATGGTTTGTCTTCGACGTGTTCTTGCCGGGTTGTATGTCAGCGCGCTTGGGCTCGGGACTTAGCAACCTCTCGTCCCATCTCGCAGAAAGGGTCAACACCCCGAGTGCGCTGTGAATCCGCATTGTCAGTACAGAACTGACCCTTGGGGCTTGCTGAACTAGCCATGCAGGTCCTGCGATAAGTGTGCTTCAGATGAGCTTTAGCGATCGCCGAAAGCTGGGCAGATACGTCCATTCCCAGATGTGCATGCGCGGACGTCTGGGGTGATGGCCCTGTATGCCTTGCCATGGCATGTCGGTATGTTCCTGTGCACAGATGTGTGTGTGTGTGTATGTGTGGGTATCTTTGTTTGATCTGATCTATTCGTGAAGATACGTAAAAGGCCATCTTGCCAAATGTATTTGTGTGTGCCAAGACGCAAAGATGTGAACCACAGGTCTAGGTACTCTTTGGCATGAAGTATGCATGTTGTCTCCGAACATTTAGGCTTAGTATTCGTGTGTGTTTTTGCACTGTTGCTGAGTGTGAGTTCTTTCCTGCCTCGAGCATAAGAGTCGAAACCCGACAAGCAAGCCACGAGTCCTGAAGCCCTAAACCCTCCCTCTAAAGTTTCATGCAAGCAGCCAATCTCAAACATGGGGTTCACCTTCAACTGACTCAGCACCAATATCCTCGCCATGCTTTTGAGGGCCGAAACCCTCCCTAAACCCCGAATGGTGCAGCCGGCAGAAGGAGAAGTTCGGTGAAAAGTTGAAGCCCGAGGCTATCTTCAAATGCAAGGGTCGCAGGTTTGGAGCAAGTGGATCTTGTACGCAGCTTAGGAATACGGATTTCAGGGTTTAGGGCTTAGGATTCCAGGGCTCAGAGCTTTGGGTTTGAGGGTTTAGGGCCACTGTTGTTTGAGGGGTTCAGGTCTTTAGGTTTAGTGATGGTGAGGAGTCGCTTAGCCGTCAGCTTCCTTCTTGGGGAGTACCCGGCAGTCGCACTAGGTCTGTCGGCAAAAGAGGGTCTTGTTGTTGTATCTGGTTTGGAGCTCATTGGTTCTACTAGAGCCCATCATTGTGGACGGCATGGTCCTTCTTTGCTCATGGTGTAGTCCATTTAGGAGAGATGAGAGATTGTCCGATTTAATTAATGCGGATGCTTCGGGATACTTCGTTTGCGGTCGTTTCTGCGGGATTTTCGGGACCTCGAAGACCAAAGACAAGAAAGGACGAACACCTGTCCCTCTAGAAATAGAACTCGAACTTCTCAGCACCTTTTTTTTGTAGGGCCTGTATACTGTGTTGGACCCCTGCCACATCCTTATTAAGGGAGGTGTTCATGAATCAGGGGAAAGCTCTACAAACTCTCTAGACATAGACCCAGAGAGGCCTGGGCCATGAAGAGAACAGTGCGGTGGTGCTCTATGCTGAAATCCCTGAACCCCCAAAGAAGCAAAGCCTTCAACCCTAAACCCTAAACCCTAAGCCCCGTCGGGTTCAGGCTGTGACTGAGCCTTCCCAGGAGCTGGAAGCTTTCTGGCGTGAGAAGATGAGCCCTGCGTGGGTGGCCAGCTACCCAGATACGGCTTTAGGGTTTTAGGCAGATTTGGGGTTTAGTATTTAGGGTTGTGGATTTTCGGGTTTAGGGTTTTAGGGTTTAGGGTTTAGGGTTTAGGGTTTAGGGTTTGGGTTTAGGGGTTGTGGATTTTAGGGTTTAGGGCTCCTACTTGTGATGCTGTCGCCTTGCTTGCTTTTCGAATTTGCAGCGTTAGATTCTTGTAGGGTTACATTCGTGGGTAAGTAGAAGTAACTTGCGTCCATTGAATGAAAGCTAGAATGCCAAGTTTGCAGGCTGGCGCGCGAGATTTGTGACTGTTGGTAAATGTAGACCTTCAGAACACAAAGACCAAAGCCTCGGTGCTGAGGTAGTTGCTTTGGCTCGCCCTGTCACCGACCTTTCCCAGATCAAGGCACGATGCAGCAAGCTAGAGCCCTGAGGGGTTCAGAAACCAATCGGAGAGCACTTCAGGTTTCGGAAATGTAGTATCCTTAATAATTAGAAAAGTGTTTTGGGGTACATCCTACTATAATTAAAGATAAGGAACCACCACAATAGTATAGGTAATTGTTTAGGCCCCTATAGTATCAGGGCTCCGCAAGCTCGAGAGGAGATCCGGGGAGGTTGGATTTAGAAAGTCGCCAGCAGTCGTCAGCGCAGGGTTTCTTCCAGACCCAAGGTCTTCAGTGCTTTGGCTTTGGGATCCTACCTATAGTCACTATAGTCTCCATTGTAGTTCCTTTTTTGGGGGGGGGTTAACCCAAAAATATATTAAGGATTCTATAAGGTATCCCCAAAAAGGAACTGCAATGGAGACTATAGTAGGTGGGAGGCTTCCCGTCCGGGGCTCAGAGGTTCGGGGAATGGATCGTGACCATATCATCTCTGGCTTGGGCGGTTCACACATCAAGCGTTGGATTCTGGTCCGAAGTCCCCATAAGCGAAACACAAAGCCAGCCTTAAAACTTCGACATGTGTTAGAGGTATTTCAGGGCTGCTTCGAGTAACTTAAACGAACACTCAGAGGGTTTGAGGGGCGACGTGGTCTATCTTTTTCCTGCATTTGTGGGGCCGCACAGAATTGAACATGTCTACCAAAACCCCAAACCCTCATAGGGCTCCGCGGTTATAGGGTTTGAGAATTTAAGTCCTGTGTTCACGGCGGCAGCCTCAGTCAGCAAATAGGGGAGTGGCCGGATCCTTAAAATCGGGATGCCTCATTGTAGGGGACCTCATCTGGGGTTTTCATTCTAAGCGGCTTTGGCACATGGAACCGAAGGCTCCTTTTCGGATCGCTTCCCCCTGGCCTTGCAGAGGCTCCGGTTCCAGATGCATCCACCTGGAAGGACACTGATGTAGTAATCTAGAAGCCTAAATAGTTACCTATAGGATTTTGGAGGTTCCCTATTCTAATTATTAAGGCATTGATGTAGTACTCTAAAAGCCTAAATAGTTACCTATAGTATTTTGGGGGGTTCCCTGTTCTAACTATTAAGGCCCCTACATGAGCCTGAATAATTAGTAATGGTAGAGCTTCGGGCCGCTTAGCAGCATGGTTACACTACCAATGTACCCAAGACACCTGTGTTCATCGTTTAGGCCACCATATTTCTGTACCGACTATGGAAGGCCCTTGACATCGTATCTCTGACTGCAGACGTAGTGAAGAGCATGTGCAGATCAGCAATCTGCAAGGAGAGGCACGTGCATGGACGTGCCTGGGCTCATCGAGTTGGGTTGAACCTTCGCCGTCCAGCTTGCTCGGTTTTTGAGATTCTTCGTCTTCGGCAAGCATCCCCAGACCTTTAAGATGGATGCCTCGTGAGGACGATGGGAGTACTATCAAGCCGGTGCCGGCCCGAGAGTGAGGTTTACAGGCTTCGGGACTGGCAATGCTAAGGTGTCAGGCATTGGTCTCTATATTTATATAGGGACCACAATGGGGTACTCGTACTAAATTACGGATTGTGTTGTACACATGATGTTGCATAGTGATGAGGTCGGACTCGTTCTTGTAATCGGAAGGACAACTTGAATGGCTCCAAGAGAGGAAGCTGGGTGGGTGTCGTCAAACAGAGGTCGAAATATGTTGCAACGCTATCCCGTTCTTGAATTTGCCAGTCTATCGTCGCTATATAATACTACATTCGTTTTTGTCCCGCAACCTGCACTCATGGTTAAGGCACCCCCAAACTAGCTGCTGGGAGCATTTATGCCAGCCCAAGGACGAGAAGAGGCGGCAGCCCGACGATCCAGAGCGCTTGCCTTGGTCCATGACCCTATGTCAAGGCGTATTCTTGAAAGACCTCGTGGCAGCGTGCATGTAAACCTTCGTCACATACAGCACCTGTATGTCCTGCACACGGCCTTCGGACGTTGCATCGGGACATAAGGAGCCCTAAGCCCTAAAGTTGTTCCCTCCTGGCTTGCTTAGGAGAAAAAGGACCAAGGAAAAACACTTGCTTTAACCTGCATGCTTAGAAGTGCCATTCCTTGGGGTTCCTCACTGCGGTCAGAATAGTATGCTACCGCTATACCCCGAAACCCTGCTTTATTGGATCGGCCCTGGAAAAAGCTGACAAAAAAAGTCATAATCCCTTGCATATTTGTCTTCAAAGGAACCCTGTAAACGAACGCGATTTAGAAGCATTCGGGCACCTACATGTTAGGAACTCCCATCCGCACCGTGGATGGTCATCACTTTGAGGCTCCTCTCCTTTGAGGAGCTGAAGGCGAAGAATCCGGACACCTCGCCTGAGGTCCGAGCGCTGAGGTTTATAGGGCGTAAGGCGTTTACAGTAGCACTCCTAGGGTTTTAGATTCAGGATTTTAGGGGTTTACTTTATTCTTGCCTGTGTGACTTGCCATGCCCAGATGCAAAATCAGGACTTACTGTTGAGGATTTCGGGGTTTATAGTGTCGGATTTAAGAAAGGTGTCGGTTTCAGAGGTTTCGGGCTGTCAATTTGAATATTAATGAGGGTTTACAGTAGGGTATAGCATGTCGGGCTTCACGATTGAGGATTCGGGGTCTTATGTGGCTTAGCGCTTAAGACTAGAAGCACCTAAGCATACACTTGCGAAGAGAAGATCGTTGGTTTTTCAACATTATGTGCTTGTGTGGCTTTTCGGTCCCTGAAGGTAAATTCCGGATATAGAGTTTAGGCTTCAGGTTTAAGAGTTAGGGCGGTCAGAGCCTGGATAGAAAGGTTGCTTCCTGGCCGCATACATTGGAAGCCCTGCACTTCGGGATGCCCAAGGAAGTGATTAATTACTCATTCTGCTCTCATTATGACTGGTTATGGTTTTTATTTGTCACTGTTTTTGTGGCACTACCATTTGTTATGGCGACGACAGAGCCAAGGGTTGAGAGTTCGGAGAGGTTCTCCAAACTAGGAACCCTCGTTCTAGTCCTGCTTCGACAATTCCTCGGTTCTTATGAGAATGTGCTCGGAAATTTGGTGCATGTTTGATTTTCAGAACTCCCGAATTTGGTTCTTGCGGAGGAGCTCGAAAAGCTTTGGCGTGAGAAGATGAGGCCGGAGTGGGTCGCCTGGGGCTCAGCCGATGGCAGAACGCAATACTTCTTGGTGTGCAGTTGCACCTGCAGCTGGCAGAACGCAATTACCATAGGCAGAGGAAGGAATAGTTACTAACTAATATTACTATTGCATGCTAGTCCCTGAAATCTAAGACGTTGCAACATATCATGATCCCTGCTACGCCGTTTCAGAGATTTCAGGCAAAACCAGGGAGTACACGGAGCCAAAAACAGTAGGAAGAGACCCCCCCCAAGAGCCGGCCCCAAGTTGATGAAGCCCCATCCATGTTGCAGCAGAGGCAGGGTCGGATAATGTTGGGGCCTTAATGATCAGAATAGGGTTTTGGGGGATTCCTAATACAATTGTAGTATAATGGGCCCCCCAAACCCTGTTCTAATTACTAGGGCCCCTTTATTAGTGGCACAGCCGTGGATAGTAAGAAGCAAGAAGAAGATATTCCTCGCCTCACGGTCGATCTTTTTGCCCCGTTCCGATCCTTCGTCGCCCTGAAAGTACGAGTGGTAAAGAGTTAAGAGGCCGAAACCCACACTCTAAACCCAAACCCAGAGAGCCACCAGGCCTCATGGTACTGGTCCGTACTGGTAGGGGTCTAGGGGCACCTTTTGAGAGGATGTGCGAAGGCCTTGCAACCATCACGCAACAGCAACCCGCTGCTCCTGTGCATGATGAGCGGATATGTTGATATAGAGGTCTGACAAACTCGGTACTGTTATCATAGTCCCAACAAAATGAACTCGATACCTGTTCTAATTATTGATCCCCGGTTCAGCATGCAATTAGACGACCTCTCCGAACTGTCGCGACTTTCCTGAAGCCCCAAAGCACTGGTCTGAACCCCGTTCACAGCAGGCTTCCCCGAGATGAATCACTTTCACCTTCAGCTCCCAAAGCTCTGTATACCCAGTGTCCCCGTTCAACCATGCAGGAGTCTCAAACTCGCAATTTACAGCCCTAAACCTTTTTTCAATCCCCGATTCCGCCAACAGCCCGGAGTGCTTAACTCCTTTGTCAATCTTGGGTTTTGATAGGTATCTAATCTACTTATCCATCCATCGATCTGTTTGAGTATACTTCTATTTACGTATCTGTTCACATGTACGCATCAAAGTATATACATCGAGAGATAGAGAGAGAGAGAGAGAGAGAGAGATCACAGGTGCAGAATACGGGATTCGATTAAATTTACTGGTCCGGGAGAGGGGCGAGGCCCGGGGAACCGGATTCGAGTAAATTTACTGGTTCGGGAGGGGGATGACTTGTCATGCCCAGTAAGAGGGGGCTAGCAGCTGTGTGAGGTCCACGAGCTCCAGTACATCAAGGCACTCCCCGGGTCCCCGGGGCGCCGTCAGGTAAGAGATGGGTGCTCTTGAAGTGTTCAATGAGGGTTTGGGGCCCTAAACCCTAAACCCTAAACCCTAAACTGAGGCTTTAGGGCTTTAGGGTTTAAGGTCCGGGTTTAGGGAAACCTTCGCCTGGCCTTGAAGTGTTCAATGAGGGTTTGGGGGCTGAGGCTTTAGGGTTTTAGGTCAGGGTTTGGGGAAACCTTTGCTTCACCAAATGGAAGAAGAGTAAGCTTTTCCTGGATTGGTAAATGTGGTCCGCACGAAACAGTCTGAGCTTGTTTGCTGCTGGTTGATGAAGGAGAGAGGTAAAGCATTACGGCTTAAGTTTCGGTATTCTAGGAGTCCGTCCTACACTCGCAGGCGCGAGTCTGTGTGAGAGTCTGGCGTGATGCAACCTCGCGACCACCGCAGACAGCCAGAGCATGATATGGGAGTCGGAATACTTCAATCCGTAGAGTGTATATAAGTATAGCATGGTATTATGTTCCAAAGGCGGCGCCAAGTAGAAGGCCCGTACGCGACTTGCATACGTCCAGGGGTTAAAATCCATAAATCCTTAAGATCCCTCCTGCGGTGGAGGCCGAAGGCTGGAAAGACGAGGGTGAGGATGTCAACGCAGAAGAGTCCTGGACTCAGCCTTGAGGCTCCTCAGACTTGAGCAGGCTCAGCTTGGCTCTACGGGAGAGAGAGGAGGAACGTCTCCGGCTTTGGGTTCCGAGTTTAGGGCTCGGTTTCTTTCCGGGGTTGAGGGCCCAATTTCGTGCTGAGGCTCCGCAGGGTTAGGGGAAACTTCTGGGACCGTCTGGCTGAAGCTTGCTTCCTGCATTAGCAGACCTTTTCTGGTGCCAGGGCCTTCGGGTTGGGTTTGAGTTGTGGTGGTTTGACTTGGTCACCGCCCTTGAGCCGCGAGCCTTTAGCCCCACTCACGTCTCACGGGCTCCGGATCGTAGCCTCTCGCTCCGGGTTTCTGGGATCGCCTGGCTTTAGTGTGTTTGGGGTTCTCTGTTGTGGGGTGTTAGGGGTTAGAGGTTTAGGCTTCAGGTTTAGGGCTGTCTTGCCAACATCTTCCCAGGCTGCGCCAACATCCAGCCGATGAAGAGCCCGCTCTCAGAGATCAGATCAGTGGGGGTGTTGCTTTGGCTGAGAGAAGAGAAATCCGTTGCAGGTATCCTAAACCCTGAACCCTGGTCTAAACCTTGTCACACCGACTACGCACACATGGATCCTCGCCTGGCTTGTCCGAGTTGTGAGAGCGTGAACCCCAAACCCTAAACCCTAAACCCTAAACCCCATATATATATATATATATATATATATATGGAGCCTTGCCGGCTTTGTGCGGGTGTGAGAGTCGAAACCCTAAAGGTACTACACCTTTGAGCAGCTGAAGGAGAAGGTCGGAGGCCAGGCGTTCGTGCTTCTTGAGACGCCGATTGCAGTGAGTACGTGTTAGGCAATCCTCCCCACATGCGTTTAGCAACCACAAGAGAAGCTGGTAATTAGATTATGAGGTTGGGCCTCATGACGATTGCTTCGATAACCGTTCTTGCGAAAATTAGAGTGTTTTCGTCATCACTGTCCTATTGACTATGATGACTAGTTGTGGGCACAAGGCCTTGTGGCTTTGGAGCTTTCCAGTTGCAGGGCTTAGGACGTCCTTGTGTTGTGAGTTAAAGGATGCAGACGGTTCATATGGGTAAGATCCGACGTGACTCGTTCCATCCTGTTCTTATGGCCTTATGGGTGTTCATCACATGAGGGAATTGCACAAGACTTGCGAAAGCCACCTGATGTGAGTCTAGCCGACGGCAACCCGATCCACAATGCCCGAAAGCCCCGACACCTTGAACCACAATAACTCCTCAGCCCGGAGATCCGCCCCCCGGTTGAGAGGCCCGGGCATCACGCTGAATGAAGCTCAGCTGGGACATGCAAGAAAGTTCTGGAGGCAGGGGCAGGCTTCGGGGTTTCACTTGTTCAGGGTTTTGGTTTTGGTTGCCAGAAAGGCTGTCTCTAGGGCTGGGGTATTTTGCAGCCCTGAGCTCTGAAGTTTAGGGGCTTAGGTTTAGGTGGATGGTACGCCATGCTCAACTTGCAGGTCCAAGTGACCGTGAACAGGACTTTCACCTGTATATAGTTCGGCAGTCTGCAACCAAGAACCTAACGTAAAAGTCCTGAACCAGCATGCACCTGAGTTCCTCAGTTCTCCAGGCCTGAGTGTCCATGGCCCTGTTATTGCATTCATGGCGTTGCGCTTCTGCAAAAGGGGGTTCACGTGTTGGGGATGGCACAGTAGGAGAAGTGGGGAGAAGATCGGAAGACGTCGGCCTCATCCCGGTCAACTTCTCGAGATATAGGGTTTAGGGTTCAGTTGATATGCTCCCTAGGAACGACCGTGGCATCCTACCAAACTTGGAACTACTAGCAACCAGGAGCCACCCCTCAGCCCCAACAAGCTCGAATTGTAAGAGACCCTGCAGGGGAATGTGAGATCTGCCGCTTCGGACAAGCAAGCCTTACCCAAAGAAAGAATCCTTTGAAAAAGTGTCACCAACCCCTCACCGACGAGCCTGGCAAGGGAAAAGATGAAGCCCAAGTGGGTGGTGGAGGCTTTCAAAGCTGGGCCAGGCCCCCACCTACTGGCACGACGGAAGGAGGCCGACAGCTGTCAAACAACGTTCTGTTGGAAGGGGCGAACACTCTACTCCAATCGATGCCCTAGTCCCTAAAACCCTGCTTACTTGAGGCCCCCTGGCTTCAGGCTCAGAGTTAATTAAGCATTCGTGGAGTCCGTGGAGTCTGCGCTTGCCAGACTGAAGCATCCGTTGGCCGAGGCATGAAAGACGATCAATTTCAGAGTGTAGGCTTGGTAAGTACTCATGATAAGTACAATACCTTCCGCCCAGCCAAACACACAGAGAGAGCCAAGTGTAACAATGCAGGCTCTTTTTGCTTCTCCCGCTTCTGGCTTATGCAGGGGGTGTTGGCCTCATTCGGACTTTGCCTAGCGCCATGGGTTCAGCCCAGCGCAGCTTCGTTAGTGTAGTTGGTAGCCTTCACGACGTGCGGGGAGTTATATAGTAGACCCACGAGCTGTGCTCCGGAACTGAGCCCCTAGGCATGAAACTCTTGTGTTCAACGGCTCCTTGCCGGCAAGAAAGCCAGCATGCCGCAAGCAAGCAAGCGGGTTCTGGGTGTAGGCACCTTCGTTTGAAGCCAGACTCCCAATCACCTACTCCTACCGGACCGAAGTTTGGCCCCCCCAGGGAAGACAGCAAAAGGCATCTCTTTAAAGCTCGTAGAAGCGCCTTGCAGCTCAATCTCGAAAGCTCCTGAATCAAGACCTCCCTAGAAGATCCGCAGAAGCTCCCAAGTCTAAAATGCAACGTCAGACCTTTAATTCTTGTGAACTTACAGCCCCTATAACAAAGCGTACAGTACAATCTTCGGAGTAAAGGGGAACCCTATTCCATTATAAAGGCCCTCCTATGACTGTCGCCAGGCTCCTCCTCGAAAGCCTTCGGCCTCTCCTGCGAAGGAGAAATCCAAGGCTAGGCCCTAGGCGAATATCGGGGTCGGAATCATTCCCAGTAGCTTTCCTGAGGGTTTCGTGTTAGATGTCGAGAACTGTTCTGTTTAGTTTCCAAAACTCCTGCACTATTTGGGTTTCTGTTTGTATAGTTTATTGCTGTTTGCTCGTTTGGTTGCTGGCCACAGCGAAACGGTTGGCACGCGGGCGCCGGCGGACATTGGAAATCATCTCTAGCAAAAGGAAACATGCGGCCGTCTGCAGTGATTGTTGGGCTGGTTGCTGAGAGGTCCACTTTATGGAATGCGGGTTCAGGGCTGGTAGGATTTCAATCCACCGAGTGCTTTAGCGGTTCCGCCCTCGAGAACTTCAACTTTAGCAGCAGAATCCTCTGCTTCATATGGGTAGTTCTCTAAATTAGGGTCCCTTTTAGGGTCCTTATGAAAAGGGTGCCGTACTATATTGGGGGCCCAAAAGGCGCCCTACTTTAGAGAACTACCCATATCCGCGAGAGCAGGCCGCATGGAAGGACGATGGCGGCCCAATCCGGCGGGGCGCTCGATTTCCATGAGACCCTGCCACAGAACTACGGGACTACATAAGGAGGCAGAACAATGCTAGCTGCAAGAGTGTGATTCTGATATCAAATATCAAGAACAGAAGACATCTCCGAGGTCCCACATACTGTTACAACTCTTCCAACCCCATCCCCAGCTTTTTTACCGAACCTACCTTCTTCGGCATGCTGGGCAGCAGCACAGTCACCGCCAGCATGGTGAGCATCCTCCATGTTCTGGTGTTCTTACTTTCCAGCCCCACTGTGCACGCCTCTTGTGTCATGGTTTCTGATTACTGAAACATCGTCATTTGTTGTGAGCATGGTCGCCATCGTCATCATGCTAGTCATCGCCGCCTCGTCCTTCCTATAATTGTCAGCATGGAAAAATCGAGCAGAGCAATCGCACCACACTGTTCCCAGAACCACGTCCCCGCCATCATCCTAGCGCGAGTACAGCACGAGCACGATGCGTTTACCGATGCTGCTGCTTGAAATAATGCTGACGCGATGACCTGTATTGGATCCAAATTGGACCGTGGATGGGCCTGAGCAGGCGGACCAGAGGAGCAGGTAAAGAGAAGGCGCGAGTCTGCTGCAGATGCAACAGTTGCAACAGCTGCTGCTGCATCACTTGCCGTCGCGAAAACTGCTATTGTCTCCTCGGAAGCCTTCGCAGTACGAGAATTACTGCTAGTTTTAGCCCCCAAGCTGCGCTCTTCGGTTTTATTTATAAGTTGTATATTCTCAGATGTTCTCATCGTCCTGCAGCACTCTTTATGGGCACGATCATCATGATGCGGATGATGGTGTTCATGCTTTATCAGTGTCAGTAAACTTCTGGTTCCTGTTTGTATGATGGTTTTCGTCAGGCACCCCGAGCCCTGAGGCAAGATGAAACTCGAAGGCATCCCGAGCTGAGACAGCCGCGAGCTCATTATTGGGCAACAGACGGTTGAGCAACAATGTTGATATAGGGGCCTTAATCATTAGAATAGGGTTTGGGGTATGTTGTACCATAATAATAAAGCAGAATAATAAGTAAGAATAACAATAATTAATAATAGGAAGCCTCCAAAACCCAAATCAAACTATTAAGGACCCTACAGTAGAGTTTTGGGTCTAGAGCTTAGGGTTTCAGGATGTGACGGCTGTTGAAAGCAAAGTTTAACCAGTTGTTTGCCCGTTCACATATAGTGGTCAGGGGACGTCCATGAGGAGCTTTGCCGCGAATGTAGATTGTAATTACTTGCATGTGCAAGGCTATTCCGTTCGTTCTACTATCCCAAACGTCGTCCAAACCTGCAGCCCTGTAGCCCGAATTCTGAACCCTAGCCAGTTTCCCAGTATTTGAACTCCCATCCTGAACTTGAAAATCCGAATGGCTAGCCTTACGCATGTTGGGAGAGGAGGACTTAAAGTGCGAGTTCCAGGGATCAGCACCACTATGCCTTTCACGGTCCCGGCATTGCACGTCAGCATTATTCGTGGTTGAGATAAAGGTAGCAGGTTGTAGTTTCTTTGGGTTTGGAGTGGTGTATACAGTACATATCAGCATATCAATCCCTTGCGAATGCTAGTCAACTCTATGCTTGGGCCGAGATGAAAGCCTTGCAGTCGCTTGGGCTTGCATCCAGAGAGGTACTTTAGCTTCGTGGAGTTGACTGCTCACCTCAAGGACAAGATGAAGGCCCGATGGGAATGCTAGCCATAGTGGCCGAGACAAGGATAACACCGATGATGGTGGCAATGACATTGGAGATGACAGTGTTAATGAAGATCATGGTGATGAGGATGGTGATGTTGATGATGATGAACATCATCATGATTGTGATATGGTGAGGATGATAACTGTGGTCATGGTGATGGTACCGATGAAAGTGCTGAAGTGCAGAACCGGAAAGATGAGGATCAGGCAGCTTAAGCTGATCGAGACAACAAAAGACCTGCTGACTGAGTAATGTTGCTGCGTATAAGTGAGGTCATGGAGTTTTGCTGAGGATGTGACCACCACCACCGCTGTCGCCATCTTCTTCGTCATCACCATCTTCATCATTGTCATCAACATCCAGATTTTCACGGTCGTATTCGTCGCCACATCGTCACTATCATCACCATCGCAAACGCCGATATCAACATCTTCTCCCTAACCATCACTTTCATCATCATCATCATCACCACCATCATCATCACTACCACCATCACCATCAACTTTATCAACATCACCATCGGCATCATCATCACCATAATCACTTTCATCATCATCATCATCGTCGTCATCATCATCGTCATCATCATCCTTATCATCATCATCATCAACGTCATCATCATCATCATGATCATTATCATCATCCTCGTCGCCGTCGTC